GACAGACAGACAGATAGACAGATGGACAGACAGACAGATAGACAGATGGACAGACAGACAGATAGACAGATGGACAGACAGACAGATAGACAGATGGACAGACAGACAGATAGACAGATGGACAGACAGACAGATAGACAGATGGACAGGCAGACAGATCCAACTTCGAGGAAACTTTCAGGTCCTCCATTCAGAAAATTAAGGCAATCTCTCAGGCCTACGTTACACAGTGGTTCGACGATGAAGAACAAAACTGCTAGAGTCAGCAACCGCAAAGTACAACTCTTTGACGCATTAGACCCTTTTTTATATATATATTTTATATATATAAATATATATTTATAGAAATATATAAATATATATTTATATATATTTATATATATCTATAGAAACCCCATAATGTCTAAAAAAACATCCTCAAACTAATTGCTGACATTTTTCGGCTACAAATGGTTTTCTAAGATGCTATTAAATGTCAACAGTTGGCGAAACAAATCTGATTTGACCCCGTAGAAGGACTATAAAGTGTATGGTGTTCCGTTCCGAGCGCTGTTTTCATTTAACGGTTCCTTCTGAATAATCAACATCTGTATTTTAACTAGGAAAAAAACACACACACACACACACAATGGCACTTTTAAGAGCCCTCTTCTAAAGTCAACCTTGGCGTATTTTGTCAGTCTGTTGCGCTCGCTCTCTCATTGTCTGTTTGATTGTCTCTCTTTGTCCTGTTAGTCCACCTCTTTTTAGGTCCTTCTGTCTCTGTTTGTGCTTTTTTTTTTTTTCTTTCTCTCACAACACACAGGCAGACTCCAAGATAAACACAGACAATTGTGCCCTCAGGTGGTACCCCACCCCCCTCCACCATTCGCACCCTGACTACCTCAGGTGGTAGCAATAAGCCCCCCCCCCTCCCCAAGTGAAAACAGATCAGGGGGTGGATACCGGCATTGTTTTATCATAATGACTTTCTATTTAGGTATTTAGCCCTTAGCTAACGTCGTGCAATCATTCACAATGACAATAGAAAAATTCTAACAACGGAATTTTCCCTCAGTTGATGATAGAGCAGACCAACAGTCGGTTTGACAGTCAGTTATACTGTGATTTCCGGACTATTGGGCGCACCTGAATATAAGCCACAGCCACTAAATTTAAAAAGAAAAAAAATAATTGTGGGATTTTTACATAGAAAGATTTTTTTTTTCACTTTTAATTAAATAAATCATTTTTTTCCCAGTGAAGTGCCAGTAACACGACTGGTTACACGTTAGCTATTTCCTGGCCTGGCACCCTGACCGTAGTTGGAATGCACAGTGACTGATCCAGTGCCGAAGCTAGCATTAGCTCCGGGGCTAACTCCCTTCATTTTGTGCTTGTCCGCAATTTAAGTTACTGGTTCATATAAAGTCTCCTTAGCATTTGGGACTTGAAATAAATAAAAGAAGAAGTGGCTATCAGAGCTCTGATTGGAAAAATATTGGCATTTTGTGACTTTCCAGCTACTTGATTTTTTTTAATGGCTTTAAAAAAAAAAAGAATCAATAATTAAAAAATGTATCACTTTTATTAAAACAATACAATCTATAAGCCGACCGACCCGCTTGAGATCATTGCAAAATAATCCGTCAAAAGAAATGTGTGACTATGATACCTATTACTACGGTGACACCCAGACTTATCGCTCCTCAGACACTTCCTCCAGCTCTTCTGGGAGGATCCCAAAGGCGTTCCTAGGCCAGCCGAGCAACATAGCTGCCCCAGCGTGTCCCGGGTCTTCCTCTGGGTCTCCTCCAAGTGGGACATGTTCAGAAAATCTCCAGAGGGCGGCGTTTGGGGGGCATGCGATTTAAACGCCCAAGCCACCTCAGCTGACTCCTCTCGATGTGGAGGAGCAGCGTCTCTACTTTGAGCTCCTCTCGAGTGACGGAGCTCCCCACCCTATCTCTAACGGAGCGCCCTGCGACCCTGCGAAGAAAGCTCATTTTCGCCACTTGTATCCGGGATCTTGTTCTATTGGTCATAACCCAAAGTTAATGACCATGGGTCGATAATATCTCGATAATATTGATGGTTTCTATAGACATAATAAAATGAATAGGATGTGTATTTGTTCAGTTGGGACGACACTGAAGGGGTAGATAAGAAATATGCCGTACTGAGACATCAGTTATCACTCCAAAAATTAGAGAAGATACACTCTTGATGCCAGTAATAGGACCCTTGCAGGATAATCTAAACAACAAATAATTCCAAAAGTGAAATTATTCTTAGTCTTTTCTACGAAATGAAAGTAAAAAGTAGCTTTGTTTTAGTTGAAGCTACTATTGAAGGACCGTCGGATTGGGTGACTTTGAATCTTTCTGTTTATTGATTGAGTCATTTCAGAACAATAGAGGAAAATATAACACGAACGCACGTCCGCACAGGTTTTGGGGATGTCCTGCTGCTGACCACTTGATGTTTTTCATTTAGCTGCTTATCTTGAGAATGCAGTCGACGGTCGACCCTTCACTCCAAGTCCTCGCACCTGCGGTTACAGCAAAGTCGCTGATGAGATTAAAAAA